TATGAATTCCAGAACATGTACCATGTATATGAAAGTATTCATTCAAAAAATTAATATAACTTTATCGGGGGAATACATTCTCAAATCTGCACGCCCAAGAGAATGCTGGTAAAACCTGTTGAAAATGAATGCTAGTGAGTAATGAACATTAATCAGAGGTTCAAGTTTGCCTTGGCATCAGCATAGAGGCCTAATCAGTGGATATCAGCAATATTTGTCATGTTTCCCCACAATTCAATAAGCCATACTTCAGTTTTTCCTTGCATGGGTCTTTACTGATTACAAATCAAGCAGCATTATGCTTACTGCAACATTAGAAAGAATTTTACTTAGTTTCCAGGCCTTGCAAGCCAGGCTAAATGATGTTCATGAACTACATCACATGCCCAATCCAGACGTAAGGGAACTGGTAATAAAAAGCATATGTGCTTAGACCACAAAGGTTATAGGCAAGGCAACCAGGAATTCCTTCCACCATACTGGGTCATCTACCAACTACTATACTGCCCTCAAAAATTCAACACTTCTTTGGGAGTGAAATTCTTGCCACCATAGCATCATCTGTGAAAATTTTTATTTCCTCAGACAACTTAATTTGTCACTTTCGCAAAGCAACCACTCCTGTCACGATCCACATTTTGTCCAAAACTTGACCTGATTCTGAATCTGACCTGTTCAATTTTTCAGTATGGAATAATTAAAATTGTCTCTAGTATGCAATGTGGATAACATGTTTCTCTATGACCCTTCACTAACGTTACGTCTAAGCTTAAATGACCGACTGGCATCGGGTCGGGCCTAGGCCTACCTTCATTCGTTCAAACGAAACTCAATCCTCGACTTAATTATGCCTAAGGATGAATCCTTGGTCTTCCAAACACTTACACGATGTGTCAAGTTAGGTCAATCGCAGGCCAACGCAGTCTCTCACGATCAATTTCAAAGGACGATTAAACCGATTAGAGGACTGTATCGAGTTTCATGACCAATATCAGGGCGGACGTGGAAAATAAGGCATATCTAAAGTTCCCCGAATCATCTCGACTAGTTCAGAAGAAAGAGTGCATCTAGGAAGCATGACATACACGCCGGGCGCCATCATTAATTCAGGGATGTCCGGATAAGATATATCCACATCCCACCATCTATATGGCCCACTGCTTAGCATCGTTTCAATCTCAGCTCATTTCATGAAATCAGCCCAAAAATAGCTCATACATTAAAAAGGAGAATTTTCAGCTAAGAGACTCAGGATTCATGGCTAAGAAGTCATGACATTGAAGTAATTCTGTTGTGATATCCGGCAACACTGGGGGCAGGACTGGAGCCATCGCTTTAAGCATGAATGAATTACAGCTATTTTCATTTTTTATGGCGAATTGGTGCACCACAAACAGCAAAAAGCCTCTTTCTGTAACCTACAAGTCAATGACTTTCTTCTTGTTCTCTTTCCTTCGAAATCTCCTCAGGAATTACTACCCAAAGAGGTAGTAAAAACCAGAGTGAAATTCATATATTTACAAAATAACGTTTATTGATATCCACAATCTCGGGGGTTGAAGATTCAAATTTTCTGTAGCGGTTCTGTGTCGAGAGAGAAATAAGGAAGCAACATTTTGGGTGCTTTTCTTTTTTAGAGAAGAGTGCGAGAAGGTTAAAATTTTCTACGGGAAGGGGTTGAAGAAAGGTAATAGGCGCTACAGCGCCTGCGGATAATTATCACAAATTCGAATTCTTGGAGAGACACCTGCCGTGCCCTCTCCAGCGCAGTTAATTGGATGTGAGGCCTCTCCCCCTTCCACTTTTCAATTATTAATTTTGCCTCTAGATGTAGGGTAACGGAGCTTCTCCCACATTAATTAGCTCAAGTGTTTGCGATAGACTCGGATTTGTAAATTAGCACAACATGCTGCCATTATTTTCCAAATTGCTGCAGCGGTACTCGCGTCACTCTCCTGGTTAGGTCACAAGGGCAAGTTAATTGAGTGCTCTCTGCACGGTAAGCAAACCATGATTGGTACCCACTTAGAATGGGCCTCAAATGGTATTTCTACCAAGAGGTTAGTAAGGTTACTATTTTGAACTTTCATCAGTTGAATCTCGGGAATCCATGAACAATCGGAAAGGAATTCTTACCGTGTCAATGGTAATATGACCATTTCTGAATGGTGACTCTACCACGCAGCACTTCAGAAGACGGTAATATTACCTAATTGGAAAGAAAAACAAGAGCACGCATGGTTACTTTACTGTGATGTCTTGGTAACCAGACCGACTTGTGCTGTGTGTGTAAGATAAATAGGTAAGGTGACGGTGAAGTTACCAGTCCAAAAACCACCCTCATTACATTCTTACATTACCGTTCGAGGCTCTCTGTGCATACAGGTACGGTTGATGGGTAACAAAAGTGGCCCTTTTTTATCCATAAATGTTACCTCTAGGGTAACTGAGGTTACAAAAAGAAAACTTTAAGACACTTCAAGACAAGTAAGCAGTTACTGTATTGCACACTGAAAATCATGTTCAGCTTCAGACAACTCCAGCAGATTTATAGCAGACTTTCTCTAACAGATTTCTGAGCTTTACACTTTGAAGGTAATGTGAAAATGAATCATTCAGCAGAACACTTTGAAGAAAGCCAAGTAACTGTCCATATGCTGCAGGATAGGACATGTCTCTCATGGAGTAGAATCCCAATCATATTATTGCTCCTTTTGGGACACATCCTTCACAGTGACTTGAGAGGTAGCAGAAGAAGGTAGCAGAAGATGTGAATTGCACGACTGCTGAACAAGATGCAGCAGGCAGTGTGGCCCCAGAAGCTTTTTTGCAGCCCTATTGCTGCAGTCATCCTGCCATTTGAAGAAATATAAAAGTTATCAACATCAGAATTATATGACAAGCAGTCATGTGGTAACTGCACAGTGGCTCTAGCTTACCTTCAAAATGAGTCTTGACATGACACTACGACGACTAAACAACTTTTGCACTGATAATATTGCTGCCTTCTCCTGGAAGGCATTGGCAAACTTGTCAAGGGCATCAGTCAGCTTCTGGAGCAGAGTTGGAAATGAACCTGAATGAAGCCACCTTGCAACTTCTCCTGAAAGCTGCAGGTAGAACATACCACTCTAATTATATGGCTTCCATACTCTCATGATTCCAGTGACTCCATTAAGCATTATGTGAAGAGGTGCAAGATTTTTCTAACCACCGTTTTGTGACACATGAAAGGTTGGAGGACATCTATGGGAATGCTCTTTCTTCAATTGAGTCAAGAGCAGGGCCGGATTAAGAAGTTGTGGGGCCCGGGGCAAGTGGATTTTTGGGGCCCCCTACGGCTAGGCCAAAAATAATTATTTAACCCTGACCTAATTCACGGGCAACTGCGCATACTTATAATTCCAGTTCATTGGTTACCATATAATGCTCAGAGAGAATATATTTCTTTGCTAAATAAATAGAACAGGAATCTCTTGCCTTAAATCATCATTTTCCTCGCTTTTCTGCGGCAGCAAATTCGGAGATCAGGTCTTCAAATGAAATTTTCCTTAGGAGGTCGTGCTCTATGGACATGAGCGCCAGTGAATTCAAGCGAAGTTGCAGCATTGTAGATCGAAATTTGTTTTTGATGTATGACAGTTTTGAAAACGATCGCTCCCCCTCGCAGTTTGAGATGGGAAGAGTCAAATAAAGCCTAAGAGCTATGGCAACATTCGGGAAAACATCTACCAAGCCTCTTGTGTACAGCATGTTCAGAAGTTTTGGCGCTGTCCTCTCGCAATCCCCAAGACTTGAATGTCGAATGAAAGACACAAAATGTTCNAAAACCTCTTTCCAGTAAGACATTTCCTTATTCATTTGACTTTCCATGTGCTCTACCACAAGGTTCGCCTTATCCTTGCGAAGAAGCCAATGCATTGCAGCTTTCTTGTGCTGAACTCCGTTTTCGTGTTCTTTCATTTTTTCTTCGGATCTCTTCCAATTCGAAAAGCCTCCATCGACGAAAGATATGCTGTTGTTTCGGGCGCAAAACAATTTGTAGGTGAAACAAAAAAGATTTCCGGTAGACTTGGAATATAACACCCATTTTCTTGGCTGCACTTCACCATTCTCTAAAACTCTCAAATGCGGAAGGAGGGAGTTTTCTCGTTGAATTCTTGTAGTGCCTACACGAGGCCGTGTACTCTCCGTCGTTGTTTTGAAAATATTCGGGCCCTTTCTCGACGCAGTAGTCCCGAGCTGCCTCGTTTATATGCGATGGCCACTTTGCTGGGTCTTGATCGAGCACTGAGAATGGGCTGGTATCACATGTAGAAGCCTGAGGCTCGAAGTCTTCTGCTATCGTCTTGGATTCCTTAGGAACATATGCATCATCTTCCAGCACTTTTCCATCCTGTTCAACATCCATGGCAGAAAGAGAGGTATCCGGTTTATTTTTCGTATCACTTTCTAGGGAAGACACCTTTTCTTCTGTAGAAAGAACGCTCTCCTCATCGTATTCACGGGGTGTTTCAGACTGTTTGCGTGAACTCGTGGCGAAATAAGAGGTCACTTTCGGGTGCTTTCTGATTTCCTCTTGTTCATGTTTCTTTGCTTTCCTCTTTGCGGCACCACTCTCATATTTTTTGAAACTCATCACTGTTTTCGGCTGCAAGTTATGTTCAAAGCATAGCACAACGCGAACGACCACTGCCTTTATGCACGTTTCTTCCAGTACTCGCACTAGCCCACCACATGAGAAAATGAGTATAAGCGAGGCGCTGGGAATTTGGGCGGTAGAAGACGAGAAATGAATCATTTGTCATTTCGCCTGCCAGTGTCGCCGGATTAACTCCAGTCAAAGGTTTTTGGCACACCTGGGGAATCATCCTCCCATTGGCATGAGCCCTCTGGGCATTTCACACCAAATGAAGCTTCCACTGTCCCCTAATTCCATGGGTTCAGCATGGATGGAAGCACGCTTTTCCTGTGCTCCTTGCCCTTGCTCTCGCTTAGACGTTCGTACGCGATGAGAAGCAAGGAATCCAACATCACCAAATACTACAATTAATGTCATTCCTCACTTTATTTGAACTTGATCCAGTGACTCTTCGATTCCTCCCCCCTTTCTTTTTTATTTGATTGGCCGACACGGCTTTTTCATTTTCCTGCTTCTCATATCGAGGATGGTCGGAATATTGTAAATCTTCGTACAGAAGTGCTTTCATGTCCAACGCATTCCATCCATGACACTCGGCAGATGAGAGTTGAGTGAAACAGAACCGCGATAGCTGTGGGAGTGAGCTATGTGATTTTTTATCCGAAGAGGTAGGGCACCACTGCCATTCAGTTAACCACTGGCTGTTCAAATTTAATTTGTATCAATAAAATCCGCTACTTAACTTCTATGAATACTAAGGGTGGATTTTTAAAAAGAGCATTATCAGATAATGAAGCTTTATTTAAGAGAAAATGCATTATAAATCCGGTAAATAAAGCTGCATTATCAGATAGTTCTCTGTTCAAAAATCCAACCTTAATATTTTTAAGTTCCTTCGGGGGCCCCCTGGAAAGTGGGGCCCGGGGCAACTGCCCCCTTTGCCCCCCCCCCCCTTAATCCGGCCCTGGTCAAGAGTCAAGAGAGTTAGTGATATTGAAAGTGAGGGAAAGAAGAATGTTTACGTGCTGATGGTCAGAGGGCGGACCTGCCTGCATGGTTTTCTTCATTTCCTAAAGAAAAGCAATAATGCAAAGTTTTGGAGGAATTGTTTGTCCCATCATCAATAGGCGCGGTAGCGCCTATTCCCTTTCTTCAAGCCCTTCCTGTCACAAAATCCAACCTCCTCGTATTCCTCTCTGAGAGGATCTACAGGTACGAAATTGGGCAGACTTCTTCCCATCTCAACACAGAATCGCTCCAGGAAATTTGAAGTTCTATCTCCCCCGGGTTGTGAAGAAAACTGAATATCCCTTTTTGAAGATGCCAATTTCATTCCGTATTTTTTTCTCTCCCCCCCTGGCTAGGCACTCCTGGGAGGTTTTCGAAGGAAAGAGACCAACCAAAAGGAAGATATTAACTCCTAGGTCAAGAAAAGTACTCTTTTTGTTGCTTGCAATGCACCATTTTGCCATTTAAAAAAATTAAATTAGCCCGTTCATTTAGCCTTAGCGTGCTGGCTCCCATGACGTCTCCCATGGTTGCCGGATATGATACATGTGTTATGTGGGATTCATGACTGCTTCTGCTTTCGTTTCAGTGTCTGAAACTTCTCTTTTTTAATATTTGATACACATATTTCCTGAGTTCATGAGCTGAGGTGAGTCTCAAGCAGCGGTTAGCGGTGGTCACTTGAAAAGGTAAGATATGGAAATACCTGGCGTGGACATCCTTATTGATAATGGCAACTGACTTGTAATTAATTGCGGGGGAGGGACGGGGGGGGGCAGGGAGAGGCACGTCATACGACTCGGGGGGGGGGGCATACTCTCCACAGACTTCATGGAGATGGTTCTGGAGATGGTTCGAGTAACTCCAGCTAGGCCTAACGTTACAGTCCTTTCGTGAAGCTCGAAAAGCTCGAAACCGGCACATAATATTTCCAACGTTACGCATACTCGACGAGGTGTCTCGAACACCCTTGATTCACCATTAGGCCTAATTCGCTTGGAAAGTCAAGGATTAAGATTGCTTTGAAGGAGAAAGGTAGGCCTAGGCCTAGGCCTGACCTGAACACAGTCCTTGGGTTTGGCCTAGGCCTAATGTTCGTGAGTTCCATGGAGAGGAGGAGCCTAGTTTGAGTAAGTCGTTGCCATAATGTCACATCAATGAAGTGTTAGGAAAACCCGAAGGAACACTCACCATTGGCCTGGTTGACCTAGATATGGACATGATAGCCTCTGGAGGGACACAGGTCTTTTCATTCCTACTACTTTCCATGATTTGTAATTTGATGAACCATTGCCCTTGTGAATTTTCTTTATTGTGGGCATGGAGACTACTCAGCATATCAGTTTACACTAGCATCTTTTTTCTTCATTGAATCCCTTCTGGTATCAAGAATTTTCAGAGAAGCTTCAGGATTAGCATAATGCATGTTCATTACTGTCTGAGCACAGACTCTTGGACATTCTATGCTCCTTATACTTTCAGGATTACAAGGATAAAGGATCAAATATTTTTGCTGATTGAATTTGTTTCAGGATGAATATGTATGCATTTACCCATGCCCATCCTTGCCTGGTGTAGTGAAGATACCATAACTAAAAGACATATATTTTGGTTATAGAGCAATACATGTATACCCTTACTGTTGCTGATGAATATCTCTGCTAAAAATGGAAGTCCTTTTACAGTAGGGATAGTTTCAAAAGCCCTCTGAAGGAATGAAGCCTTTCATCAAAAAAGCTGATTTCACCTGATCCACTTCTGTTTTTGTCAACCATTTGAAAAAACAAAAGAGGTAGGAATCATTGGACAAGAGCAGTGATTAAATATTTTGCTTTGAAATGGTTTGTAGCTGATGAATGAATCAAGAACCTGGTCCATGGTTAGGGCCGGGTGGAAGGCGTCAGAGGTTACACACATGAATCCACATATTTCATAGAGTGAATATTGTTAGTGTGCCTGTTCATATCCTTAAGAAGGTAATGAAGTGGCACCATGCTTTTTTAATGTCATTAGGGTCAAGGTTGGGGATAGGTCTTTCGGAGCTCCTTTACAATTGGTCCTCCACCTCAGATTTTTGTAGACCCATCTGGGATGGGTGTTAAACTGTTCCCTGAGGCCATTAATGCATGAAATATGGAGGCGCTTAGGCTGAAAAAGTAACATAAAAAATATTTACGTATTTCAAATTAATATATATTGGGGAATGCGAGCGAAGGGGGCCGCCATATTGTATGGTGGCCGAAAACGCTCATTTTTTGCGAACTAATGATTCCGAAATTCCCGCCTATTTTAAATGGGAGCTATTTACACCCCAGAAAGACACTTGGATAATTTTCATGATAAAGAATTCTAGTTATGAGTTTTTTTTCTTCTAAGATTGGGACCCACGGGAAGACTGCACAAATGAAAGATGGATTACGGTTCGGTTTTAAAAGCATTTGACGGATGAATTAGGCCCACTCTCCATTTTTTTAAAAATTATTTTAGACGTTAGAACTACTCAGCCCAACATTGCCGGTCCTGCATTCCCCACACAGCATGACCTCAAAGTTTGTCAGGAAAATTTCAAGCCCCTCCAAATTTCACGCATTGAAATAGCCTCAAGGGATGCGAAACCCGTCCGTGCCAACTGAGGAGGAGCTCATGGGCATATTGGACTATGCCAAACTATGTTTAAGGGACACATTAACATGGTGTTCAGCACCACCTCAGGGCATGAACCCATCCCAAGCGGGTAGGACCTATCCTATCCGAGGTGTATGCTAACTAGGAATACATGAATCTTAAGAAATAGCAAACTAAATTGAAATTCTAGTAACCCTATA